GGGAGGGGAGGGGAGGGGAAGGGAAGGGAAGGGAAGGGAAGGGAGGGGAAGGGAAGGGAGAAAGAAAGAAAGAAAAGAAAAGAAAGAAAAGAAAGAAAAGAAAGAAAGAAAGAAAGAAAGCGTGAAGTGTTGTTAGGAGGAGGGGAGGCGCAGTGAACGTGGCTAAGTAACAGTTCCGTCACAGTCACTCCCGTCAAGACGACTTTTCACAATGAACACATGGCTCACGGAAGCCTTTAGGAACTGCGTAATCTGGCCCCAAATCATATAAAGCAAAAAGTGCAGGAAGTAAGAGAACAAGAAGAATTCATAAAGATGCAGTAATAGGGGTGCCTGGGTGGTGCAGTCGGTTAAGTGTCCGACTCTTGATTTCCACTCAGGTCGCGATCTCAGGATCGTGAGTTCGAGCTCTGCGTCGAGCTCTGCGTCGAGCTCTGCGCTCAGTGTGGAGTCTGCTCCAGATTCTCTCCCTCCTCCCCTCCCCTCTCCACGCATGTGCTCTCGATCTCTAAAAAATAAAATAAAACAGACCCATCTTTTCGAATACCTATTGAAAAATCATCCACAGAATAAAGGTCGATAATTTTTTTTTAAATCAGAGGCTGTACTTCAAAAGTTCTCCATACTCTGCACTAAAATAAAAACTTAATAATTAGAGTTGAAATAGACAATGAGATGCCAACTCCCTGGAAACTTAAAAACTCTCCTAAACCAAATCACAGTTTCTGCAACAATTGACCCCAAACAGCCAGGAGCCACCCGATAACCAGCAGGGTCAGGTTAGGACCAACCAGAGAAAAGCCAAATATGTTCCCCGGGCCGAGCACACAGGGCGCCCCAATTCCAGGTCCGCTGCCCCAGGCTGCAGCCCCGGCAGGACATGCCCGCAGCCACCCCCTCCAGCCTCTGCCAAACCCAAGCGATGCGGCGACTCCCTCCCCAGAGCAAGTCCTGGCTAAAGAGCCTGTGCTTCTTTTCCTTTGGATCCCCTTCGTTTACCTCCACAACATACACAATGTTGGTGTGCTCTCAAGTTCAAGTTCACAGATGAAGCACAGAATATTCAACAGCCTTGGACACTTGTTTTGGAACTTAGGGAAAAAGTGTTCAGCTCATACTGCATACCCACACGAAAATGACTATCAGATGCACCAAAGTTTCCGATGTACAAAATCAAAGTACGGAAACAATAGAAGGAAGTGCCCGTTGATTGCCTTGGCACAACGATCCCCTGAGGAAGGCAAGGCTGGCTGGACTACGGCTCATAGGTGAGGAGGCTCAGGGCCAGCAAGGTGAGAGCCAGGATCTGAACCCAAGCTCGACTCCTGGTTCACAGGTCAAATGCCGCCGGTGGGTGGGAATGGGGGTGTCTACGAGACCTTCCACTTCAGGAGCTCCTGGGCTTCTTGTAAACCGCACGCTGTCAGATGGACCTTGTCAGCCGAGCCCCCGGGGAGAGGGTGCCCAGTGGCAGGGACCTTCCTGGAGGCAGTGTGGGCGGGGCTGTGGCCCCCCTGGAGGGGGACAGCTTACCTGTTGGGCTGGAAGCCCAGGCTGTTCAGCATGTGTGCCTGGTCCAGGTCTTTCGGGAAGCCGTGCAGCACCCACCCTTTCTGAATGCTGTCCTGCTGGCTCAGACGCTGGCTCAGCACCTTCATGATGATGCTGTCAGGGACTGCAGAGAAAGGAGAGCAAATGGTCATTCTGTCATCCTGGGCACCGCTCCTGACCCAACAGGGGTCTGAGGAACAGCGGCAGTCTGCGGCCCATGGGTTTCCTAACGTCCTTGACTCTGGATTGAACTGGTGAAGAGTAGGGTTTAGGTGGACGAGGCTGCGGGTGCACAGGTCCCTCCAAGGTCCCAGCAATTGGAGGAGCGCGGCTGCCTGAGAAGGGAAAAGCATTGGGTGGCCTTGACCTTGATCTTGACCCCTCCTCGACCTTGACAAGATCCCATGCCCATCAGCCGCCAGGGTAGTTCCCAGCCCTCCAGCAATATGGGGACAGTCCCCGTCCCCCCAGGATCCAGTTTTTGCAGCACACCAGGCCCCGAGGGGAAGGTTTAGCTTTCCTCAGATGGGACCGTGTTGGTGCCCTGGGTGCTCTCCGCTAATTTGCAACGCACAAGCAACACTTGCTTCCCTCCTTCCTCTAGTTCTCCCCTCCATGGTGTCTAGAATCAAATCTCAAGAATTACAGCTCTAGTTATAACCAGAGACTGCAATACAGTCTCATGGAGGATGAGATATCGAGAAGCCTCTTGTTTACATTACCACAATTGACATTTTCCTGAAATTTATACCTCTCTTCTCAGACTCATTAAATGTCCTATGTTGCTGATGTACTGCGTTTTAGCAATTTGCACTGCATTTCCTGCACTTTGCACTCATTTTTCAAGAAATACTTGGTAAATATTACCAGCATTTGCTATGCATGTGGCCCCGACAAGCTGGTTTCCTAGAGTTGCAATGAGGGTGTTCGACGGCTTCTCTGGAGAGGCCCTGTCCCCCTCCTACCAGCCACCCACGGGCTGGGCAAGTGGCTCTGGTACACACGTCTGAAACCTTCCCAAAGGCCCCCAGGCCACAGCCACGTGAACACAGGGGTAAGAGCTGCAGAAACAGCTGCTTTCCTCCATGGCCATGATGCGCTGCTTACCCCCTTGTCACCAAAGACCATCAACTTTATTCTGAGCGAGTCCCATTTCCCTGAATTTGTTCTTTCTCACATTTTTCAGCTTTTCTTCACCAGTCTCGAGGAAAGAGCAAAAAAGGGCTTTTGCTCTAATGAGAGCATCTGGCTTCCTAACATGAGCGAGAAGTGGATGCAGCTGATCCTGTCTCTTCCCCTCTTACACCTGCTGTGGCTCCCCAGTGCTGGGAGAATATGAGCAGTCACCCTCCCCGTGGCCAGCAGCCCCTGCAGTCTCTGACTCCTGCCTCCCTCCCAGTCCTGGTTCTGCCCCAACCCGCTCTGACACTCTGAACTTCAGTCTCTTCTGCAAACTGGGAAGGTGGGTGGGCATGCTCTGGGCAGGCGGCGAGGAGAGGGGGCTACAGAAGGATCTGTGATACTGCTGCTTTTATAGGCAGTCCTTAGAATAAAACCCAGAAAACTCACCACTTACTTCCCCTGGATTCCTTTCTCAGAGCAAGTGCGAGCTGAGAGCCTGGTGGTTCAGTGGACTCTGCTTGGCAGCAGTGGGACCTCCCTGAACCTCGGTGTCCTCTGTGACACCTGCCTCACTGGCTATTGTGAGGCCGGTAGATGGACTAATTAAAGATGCCAGATCCATTAGAGGTCTTCCTCTGGGGTGGGGTGGGGTGGGGAGTTATGCTTTTAATCCCTTCCTAAAGTTTATCCAGATTCCCATCAGATGGCTAGGATGAAGCCTCTGGCAAAAATATGTGACCCTTAAATTTCAAACTTTTCAGATTAAATTTCAAAAATCCAACACCTGAGCTTAAATCTGACTTTAGGAGAGTGCTGTAGGTTTTAAATGGGTTTGCCTGTAGAGAAGGAGGTCCCCTAGGTAATGAGCTTGCCGACCAGTGATACCCTGGGTGATTAAGGCCTCAGTTGTGTTGGGGTGAGGGCTGGATTGGGCTAATATTTGTTTCTCCAACAGTAAGGCCCTATTGGAAAGCAAGCTGTGCTCCAGGGAGGCCTGAGCTCCTGACCTGCAGCCTGCTCAGGGCAACAGGGGGCTGCTTGTAAGGCTCAGAGCCCTGGAGATTCACAGAGGGAAGGCCCTGGAAGGTCATCCCCTTGACCTCTCTCATTTCAAAGTTGAGAAACCGAGACCTAAAAGGCAGTGGCTTAAGAGACCTCCACTGGAGAGAAACGTGACTGGAGGGAAGAATGGAAGACCAGATGGAAACACAAGGAGACTTTTTGTGGGGGTTGGCGGCAGGGGGGGTAGTTTGCAAAGATTTCTAGAAGGAATTTCCCAATTTGCATTAAAAGTTAAAATGTAAGGGCACCTGGGTGGCTCAGTAGGTTGAGTGTCTGACCCTCGATTTCAGCTCAGGTCATGATCTCAGGGTCATGAGATCAAGCCCCATGTTGGGCGCAGAGTCTGCTTGAGATTCTCTCTCTCCCTCTGCCTCTCCCCCCAACTCACATTCTCTCTCTAAATAAATGAATAAATAAAATCTTTAAAAAAATTTTTTAAAGAAATTTAAAATGTACATGCCTTTCGACCCAGCAGTCGCATTTATAAGAACTCACACCTAAGATCTAATAGCACAGACAGGAAGAGGCGTGCGCACGAAGATGTCCATCTCAGTGTCACTTTCAGTGGTGATGATCAGAAACAATGTACAATGTTCGTCAGCAGGAGACAGGTTAAATAAAGGATGGTACGTCTGTGCAATGGGATACGATGCACCCTTCAACAAACCATTTCTACGCATACTAACTTGGAAAGAGGCCTCTGACAGAAGATCAGGGGAAAGAGCAAGTCAGCAAACTGTGTGTATGATATGGTCTAATTTAAATATACACAGACACGTGTACACACAGCATACACACACCCACACATACACACACTCCACACAAGAGTGGAGAGGCCCCTCTTACACCCTGTGAATCAGACCCGATCTCTCACAGAGCTCAGGACCCTGGAGGCCAGAGAGGCAGGGACCCAAGCCAGTCTTGGGTCAATGAGCTTGCTGACCGGTGATACCCTGGGTGGTTAAGGCCTCGGTTGTGTGAGGGTGAGGGCTGGACTGGGCCAATATTTGTTTTGGCCCAGCTGGAAAGGCAGAGGACTCGGGAGACGCAGGGAGTGCTGAGAGCTCCAAGGAGGGGAAGACACGCATTTCCGGGAAGAAGGGGGAATGTACACTGATTACGACTGAGCCCCTCTTTTCAGGAGTCAGGGAAACACAGACCCTCAAGTCAGCACTTCTCAGAAGGGCTCACAATAATTTCAAACTGCTAATTATTGGTGCCTATTTTTTTGCTGCCTATGTCCCCACCTTCACGCCACCCCCTGAGAGCAGGGACCCCAGTAAAGTCAGGCACGGTAGAGAAAGGGGAGCCCTCTTACACTGCTGGTGGGAATGCAAGCTGGTGCAGCCACTCTGGAAAACAGTGTGGAGGGTCCTCAAAAGGTTAAAAATAGAGCTACCCTACGATCCAGCAATTGCACTACTGGGTATTTACCCCAAAGATACAATGTGGTGATCTGAAGGGGTACCTGCACCCCAATGTTTATAGCAGCAATGTCCACAATAGCCAAACTGTGGAAAGAGTCAAGATGTCCATCAACAGATGAATGGATAAAGAAGATGTGGTGTATATACAATGGAATATTACATACTCATCAAAAAATGAAATCTTACCATTTGCAACCACGTGAATGGAACTAGGGAGTATTATGCTAAGCAAAATAAGTCAATCAGAGAAAGAATTATATGATCTCACTCATATGTGGAATTTAAGAAACGAAACAGACGAGCATAGGGGAAGGGAAGGAAAAATAATGTAAGACGAAATCAGAAAGGGAGACAAACCATAAGAGACTCTTAGTCATGGGAAACTGAGGGTTGCTGGAGGGGAGGGCGTGGGGGATGGGGTAACTGGGTGACGGGCATGAAGGACGGCCCATGATGTAATGAGCACTGGGTGTTATATGCAACTGATGAATCACTGAACTCTACCCCTGAAACTAACAATACACTATATGTTAATTAACTGAATTTAAATAAAATAAAATAAAATTTAAAAAATAAATAAAGTCAGGCACTGTGCCAGCACACGGCAGGTACTTAATAAACACTCTGAATGAGTAAATGAGTGGATGATGATCACAGGAGTGAGTGAATGGTACCATTTCCAAAACCAGAAGGCTCTTTGGTCCCTTCCGTGTTTGCTGTGGAATGAGGGATTGTCCTTCAGAGCACAGAACCAGGTCCCAAGGCAAGGGGAGACCACCACAGCCGGCTCTCAGCCACCCCTTTGGGCTACAGCATGACCCACCCACGGATCAAGCAGGCAGTCCCAAGAATGTGAGCTGATGTCTGGGCTATTTCAGAATAAAATCCTGTTGGGGGACGTGGAGGGTGGCCTTCCAGGGGGGGTTCAGACACAAGGTGGCACGAGCTTGGGTGGGTTCCTGGGACTGGGATGGGTCCCTGCATCTTCCTTTTTTATTCTCTACTTTTCACGCATGTTTAAAGGTTTCCATTTAAAAAGCGGGGTTTTGTTTAAAGAAAATTATTTAAATGCCTACAGGAGGTTGGAATGGCCACCGTGAAAGACTGTCTGAAAGGGACAAAGGATGCAATCTCCCCGGAAGGCCATACCTGCCCCCATTAGTGGCTCTCGCTTTGGGGGGACCAGGGTGCTGGAGGGAGCCTCCCCCCCATTACTACACCAGCTCCCTAGAGGCTCTGCCCAGAAGGACCGCAGCAGCAGGCTATTTGCCAGATCAGCCTTTCTCGGGTAATCCGGGGAAGTTGCTCAGACCCCCATCTCCCACAAGGCCGGTAGGCTCCATCCGTCGATCCGGAGGAGCTTTCGGAGGGTCCCAGCGTGGACAGATCTGCATAACACTAAGGGTGTCCTCTGCAGAGATGACCATGGTACTCCCCCAGCGGGGGCTGGGAAACGCAGCCAGCAGATGAAACAAAACACGGCCGCCTCTGGACACTGCCTCCCAGGCCTCCG